CATACAATAAATAATAATAATTAATGTTTTTAAAAAGTATGTATTGATATACGAATTATTATGTTTTTTTCATAATTTTTTTTATAATTGCGTTATTTAATAGTAATTAATATGTCAAAATTAGTTGTATATGTTAATTTTTTTTTTTTGGTCAACGCTTGTATACCTTTTTTTTTGGTCGTAACGCTTGTATACCTATTAATTTAGATTTTTTTGGATATTTTTCTTTACTTATTGGATAGTGAAATGGTAATTTCCTTTACACACGTCATTTTATATAATTTTTTTTTTTTAAATACAGCCATTTGGCAAAGTTCCCCTTTAATTGAAGATCCCTTTCTCTTATAAGAAAAAAAGATTCTTCATACGTGCCATATCATTCATGCATGACTAAATCCAGTCCGATCTTTAAATTCCGGACAAAGACCATACAACTCATCTCCCTCATAACACAAGACAAGTTCACACATCATCTTTCTCTATCTCCAATGGACTCAGAAACCCTAACCGATGCGATCTTCCCGAACCACCAAGACGAGACGACCGAGACAGAGTCAAGAGAGTTCGAGAAGAATCAGAAACGTTACCAAGACCTAATCGCCACGTTTCCTCACGCCAAAGGCTGGAGACCGAAAGCTCCCTTGATCCAGTACGGTGGTTCATGGATAGTACAGCCTCTCCTTGAAGGTTGGCTTCATGCACAAGACTTCTTCCAAGCAAGACCTATTGACTTTTTCGTTTGTAGCTACCCAAAGTCAGGTACCACTTGGCTCAAAGCTCTAACTTTCGCCATCGTAAATCGATCTCGCTTTGACCATTCCTCACACCCTCTCCTAAAACGTAACCCTCACGACATTGTTCCTTTCATTGAGGCCGAGTTCCCTTTATTCCCTCAAGGTGATGTTGTCAAGGACAATGAGAACACTCTGTTCTCAACTCACATCCCGCATGGATTATTACCCGAATCCATTTCCAAATCGGGTTGTAAGATGGTTTACATCTGGAGAGACCCAAAGGACACCTTTGTCTCCATGTGGAATTTCTTCCAAAAGGAAAGGTCAGACCATGGCTCTCTCAATAGTCTCGAGGAGTCTTTTGATATGTTCTGTCAAGGTTTTTCTTTGTACGGTCCTTATCTAGATCATGTCTTGTCGTATTGGAAAGCTTACCAAGAGAATCCAAATCAGATTATGTTCCTCAAGTACGATACGATCAGAGCTGATCCTTTGCCGTATGTGAAGAGGTTGGCTGAGTTTATGGGTTATGGATTCACAGCTGAGGAAGAGAAGAAAGGGATTGTGGAGGAAGTTGTGAATCTTTGCAGTTTCGAGACGTTAAAGAATCTTGAAGCCAACAAAGGAGAGAATGACAGAGAGGACATGAAAGGGAAGAAATGCAGAGAAGACATTCCTTCTAGGTTTTATCCGAAAAGCGCATATTTCAGAAAGGGAAAGGTCGGAGATTGGCAAAACTACCTGACTCCGGAGATGGCAGCTCGTATCGATGGATTGATGGAAGAGAGATTCAAGGGCACCGGTTTTTTCGAGCATGGAAACTGACCGGCTCGTGTTATGAACATGGTTAAGCCTTCTACTTCTATGTTTAGTGTACTTACAGTACAAGTTTGATCCTTTTCAAAGTTTGATTTCTAAATTGTAATAAGTTATAATTTGGAAGAAGAAATCTTGTTTCAGTTTTTTTTATAAATGTTTTTGTTTTAATAAAATGGAATTGGGTTTGTAAGCCATTCTTCTTTGCCTGATTTTTGCAAAGTCTTGACACAGAGATGAAGTAGCTATGTGGTAATTAATCAAGCAATTAGGATACTAAATCAAACATGCTACAGACAATAATGATATACAG